AGCCACGTGTGCACACACTGGTGTGTGTCCTCTGCAGCCCAGCAGGACCCGGTGTGGGTTTTCCTTTCTACCTTTCAGAGGGGTGTGAAAAGGAGTTTTTTAAATCAAGGGTTAAGTCCTTTAAAACTTAAATCCCTTGATCTTTTCCACCTGTGTTTTAACTCTTCTGGCTACTCAGTACTGAGGGCAGTCCTGGAGGGACCCCCTGGGGAGGCTGCCCAGCCACCAGCTGGGTGATGGAGCTGCCCGCAGCGCTCCCCAGTCTGCCCAGGGGAGCTGGTCTGCTTTTATAATACATAGGACACAGAGCCCTGCTTCCATTTCCCATTGTGGGAAGAGAAGATTGTGTTGTGAACCAGTAACTGGGTAAATGCTATGGAAAAAAGGGGGTAATAAGACCCACAGCGTGGAGGCAGTTTGGGTGGGATCCTGCGGGGCTCGGCGGGAGGCTTGGGTGACACAGGGGAGTAGGTTGTTTGCTGACAGTAAAGCTGACTGAGAACCTGAGGAGGTGCCAGTGTTGTCTGGGTGTGAAGCTTGCTTTCTTTTAACCCCCTTTCAAACAAGAAGGATCTTTTGGTACTGAATCAGAGGATGATTCAACAGTGAAACCTCAGGCTGGGAAATGCCTGAGTGAAAGGAGGTGGGGAAGCACAGTAACTGCACGTGCAGAGGGGTGTCAGAGGAGCTGTGCTGAAGCTGCTGTGCTGCTCACCGAGGTGTCCACCAGAAGAGTGGTGGAGAGGACAGTCCTTTGCAGAAGTATTGTGGTCTGTGTTCTGGGCTGCAATATGCAGGAACAGACAAACCCTTGAAGGTGGCGCAACCTTGGGTGCAAAGCTCTACCTCTGGGGCATCTGCACAAAGGTTTCAAAGCTGCTTCAGTTTTGAAAGACACCTTTGCTAGGCTGATCAGTCACATAATTATTCCCTTGTAAGGGGATGCAGTGGCCACCCGGCTGGTGGGCAGCAGGGCTGCATCCTGCCATCTCCAGTGTGGCAGAGGGCCAGCAGTGTGAGGTTTGCTGTCCTCAGCTCCTGCCACTCTAACCAAGCTCACCTTGGCAGCTCATGGAGAAAGAAGAATGGGTATTGCTGGGGCAATCTGCTTGGAGCCATTCCCATGCCCTGGGCTGCTCCATGTTCTCTCTGCAAATGCAGAGGGAAAGCAGCTGGATTGCTGGGGAGCAAACTCTCCCTGTTCCCCGCTGCCCCTCTCAAGCAGAAGCTTGACATTGTTTACAAAACTGAACTCGCCTGGGGAAGCTGGGATGTTGGCTTGGGTCTGCCCCTTCCTTGAGCAGATTCCAAACCCCAGCCTGCCTTAGCCAAGTTGGCCAGGATCCAGGTAGTCAGGCCCCTCCTACTGAAGCAAAAAGCAGAATTTCTCCTGATTTCGATGCAAGAGCCATTTACTTCTGGAGAGCAGCACTTGCAGCTTCACCCGACTCTTTTCCCTCCCCTGGTGAGGTCAGACTCTGCATTGTAGCATCACCAGCATTTCCATGGCAATAGACTGTGATGTCACACGTGTGGGCAATAGCACCCAGGACAGTGATTTCATTGTGCCTCTGAAGTTATGCAGGGCCGGGGCTTGGTCGGGAGATCTCCCCAAACCCCCCAAGCCCCAGGTCCTGACGAAGCTGTGCCGATGAGTCAGGGCCGGCGGCCTCTCCCCTGCCCAAGACGCAGCCTCAGCCTCCGGGCAGCTCTGCCGGCACAATTCCCCAGGCACTCTTCAAACGAGCCGAGATTTTCTTGCCTGCAATCTTGCCCACATTCCAGTGCCGCTGCTGGCTTTATTGATAATTGGCCATGTGGGGGGAAACTAAATATTTTTGCTTTCCAGAGGGCTGTGGGTGTTGTCTGCTTGGCAAAGGGCCCCTGCCTTGCTCGCTGCCTGGGAGCGCTGGGTGAGCCATCCCGGCAGAGCAGTGCTCTGCGAGAGTCTCTGCGAAGGCAAAGGCACGTTGCAGCTTGTTGTTGTGCGTAAACATTGTTATTAATACGGGAACATGGATCTTCATGGAGGGTGAATGCCCAGGATGAATGTGCTCGTTTAAACATAATATTTCAGGGGAAAACCAAATAAAATTTAGATTATCTAAAGCCCAATTTTTAATGGGCAGAAAGCGTGAGTGGTGGTGTGTGTTTGTTATTCAGAAGATTTTAAAAATTACACATGCACATCCAAATACATTTGCCTTTCCCATACTCCTCAACACAAATCTACACACGCTACCTTTGCTGCTCAATGTGTGTTGTGAGGAGTTTTAATTCTTTACCTGTTGTCTGTGTATCTGGAAGAAATAACACAGTTTAAAGTGTACGGTGGGGGCAACTTTTATTGTAGGTGTGTTGAATGGGGAACTGAAATGGTCACCTGTTCCTTGATGTTCCTGGAAGCTGTTCAGCCTGGAGAGCTTTTCTGTGATTGCTGGTCACTGCATGAATCCTGCCTGAAGTCCTGGCGCTCGCTCTGCTTGGGGCTGATTTTGCTCCCTTGCATCAGCTTAAATCAGAGTGATTCTTCTGAAAGTGGTGGGAGTGATGTTTTGTGTGACTGTGGAGGGGTGTGTTGCTCTATTGAGTCCAAAAGAGTGATGAGCTTTATTCAAAGTGAATTGCAGCATCAATATCTAGGCTTGATGCATCAGAGTTTGAGTGATGTGAATGACACACTATTCCTGGGAATGCCAAAGCTCTGATATCCAAGATCAATGATGCTAAAAATGTGTTTGGCTCAAAATTCAGTTACTCATTGCTGTTTTCCCCATCCCCAAAACAGCTGTGTGCTGAGATTAAAAGCCAGAGGGAACCTTAAGAAATGTGCAAGCTGGACTCTCCCAGTTGTCTCCCATCCCGTCACGTAGACATTCTGTGTGTTGGTTTGTTTGGTTGGCTGTCAGGGTCTCCCACCGAACACAAAGGCTCAGCAGTTCCTGCTACACCTTTTCTTTTAGTGGAGTTTTGTCCAGGTTGCTCAAAACATTGAACACCAAAAGCAGTAGTCAGAAATCAGTGGAGGACTTTGCCTTCACACTAAGAAGCGTTTAAAACAGAATGAAGAGAAACCCGCTGAGATTAAATCACAATCTGTGTGTAAAAGTTTCGCTACGAACTTTTGCTACTTTTGTAGAAAGCACAGTCAGTTCATACCTGGCTTTATGTACAATATTATTTGCTTATGGGAAATTCTGCCTCATGTAGTGTAGGAGTTAGAGAAAATCCTGGAACAGTTATTTAAATATTTAAATGAAACCCTCTTCGCCTGTGACACATACTGATCTGTGCCCAGGGGTGAGCAGATAGCGTGAGTTAATCTCAAACTGTGGAGTTGTTTTGGATATTTCCTGCTGTATATATCAAGATCTTTAAAAACATAAAAATCCTGATAGTATTTTGCATGCTTTTGTATGACAAATATTATTCAGTCCTGAGGCTGGGGAAGCTACAGGAGCTAATGTACATCAGGGGGTCTGTGCCGGGGATACCTGTCCTGACTCTGCTCTCTCGGATGCTGCTGGCATCAAGCACCCGATGGGCTGCTGAGATGAGGTAGAACTGGGCTCAGTGATAGTGGGAATTCTGTGTTTCCTAGAAGCATCCCTGTACTTTGCAACCTGGGGCTAGTTTGTAAGACAGAGAATCTCAGAAAATTGAGGATTTTTTTGCACCAGTAGAGGGGGTTGCACTGAAAATTTCCCTCTCTGGCCAAAACGTTCCTTGAGCTGAATTTGGAAAGTGAATGCCTGCAGCCGTGGGGCTGGATGCTTTCTCCCTCTCTCTTTTCTAACAAAAGTTTGTGAATGTGTTTTCTGATCATCTGGTGCTTTCTCATGTGAAACCTGTCACCAAAACTTGTTGACATGATATGGAGCCAAACAAATCATCACACAGAACTGACTTTAATTTAAGAACTTGAGCTCAGTTTTGGTTTCTTAAAGCCTTTTCTGGCTGGATTTTTCTGTGTAAGAAAGGTTTTTCTCCCTTCACTGAAAGCTGTTCCTCAACCTTTTGGTTTTACATAGACCTATTTGGAAGTGGTTTTGTGACGTGATGGTCTCAGTTCAGCTCCTAGTTGACCAAAGTTGACCAAAGTCATAACACTCCAATTGGCGTGGAGGGGTGTATTTGTCATAAAGAGTAGGAAGGCCAATATTGAAATGGGCAGAGAGGCCGATGTGTTGCTGACCCTTCCAGGTGATCCCTCTAGCTCAGGGCTCAGGTGGAGGGAGCCCGGCTGGGCAGTGTGGAGGTGTTTGCAGTGCTTCTGCCCATGCTGCATCTGCTCTGAGCACTTGAGCTTCCCTGGCTGTTAATCCAGTACTTTTCACAAGCATTAATTGCAGTTAAAAAGAATGAAACAAATATTTACCTAATATCAGATCACAACCAGTTTATAAATATGCCTTTTTTTTAATCCATGATTGCTCAGCTTCTGTAATAATATTTATAGTCTTAAAGAGACCCTTCTTTTTCCAGAAGAACCGACTCCACATAAAACCAACAGCCCACCCTCTGGAGTTACATACGCTCATGATGTCTTGGACTGTGGCCTCAAGCCATGCCCCCTGCCTTTTTCTAGCCTTTCTGCAGATCCCATGGGCAGATATGGACAGCCAGATAGCATAGGGACAACACCTACACACCCTGCCAACGCTGCAGGGGCCTCTGCTCCGAGCCCTAGGATTGAAATTACTCCATATCATGAACTGATTCATTCAGGGGGTCCCTTCCGCAGCAGAGACACAGATGTTCTTTTGGTAGAACATCAGTCAAACTCAGCTACCACTAGCCCAAGGGTTACCCTGCCTGTCCCTGGCTTTGAGGGCTACAGAGAACCACTGTGTTTGAGCCCAGCTAGTAGCGGCTCCTCTGCAAGTTTCATTTCAGAGACAAATGTATCTCCTTGCACATCACCATGTGTTTCACCAAATAATGGTCCTAGTGATGACCTTTGTCCACAGTTTCAAAACATCCATACTCATTATTCTCCTAGAACCTCTCCAATAATGTCACCACGAACAAGCATCACGGAGGAAACCTGCTTGGGACGACATTCACCATCACCCTGTCCCAACTCAAGGTCTTCATCACCAGGTGCAAAACGGAGGTACTCTTGCACTGAGCTCTACAGCACTCAGCTGCCTTCCACTTCTCCACGGCAGTCAAGGACCCCCTCTCCACAATCCTCTCCTCGCATCCCCTTGAGAGAAGACAACTCTTCAGTTACTTACACGCAGTTGCCCAGCGCTTCTCTTTCCATGGATGCTATGAACAGCCTTCCTACGGATCCTTCCTGTGGTGTTCCCACGAAAATTTGGAAAACCAGCCCTGATCCTTCATCAATGCCTTCTCACAAAAACAGCATTCCATGTCACGTCTTTCAGACTGTTGACTTCCATGGGCCTTGCGAGCAGGAGGACAGGAGAAACTCAGCCCCAGAATCAATTTTGTTGGTACCTCCATCCTGGACAAAGCAACTGGTACCTGCAATACCTATCTGCAGGTATGTAATGGTTCTTGTGGTCACATGTTTTCTGTGTTTTCTCATGGTGGGATGTCATGCATGATGATTCCTAGGGAGCGTTTCCCTGGGCAGATCCTGCTTCAGACCAGAACTAAGTGCTCAGAGACAGCACTGGTTAATGGGAACCAAATCCATTATGATTCCAAGAGATGAAAAAATCTGTGTTTGGAAGGAACATCGTCAAAGTGAAGTAGTTCTTTGATGATACAGCATATGATAAATCCAAATTTCCAAATTATTTGTCTAAAAAGCAGATTGCAGACAGCCTTTGACAAAGGCTAAACACTCATTCCATTCTGCAGCTTTTAAAGAAAATGGTTTGATCGCTTTTCTAAATTCAGCGAATATGTCGCTTACAAGTTTCCATCAGGGATGAAAATACTTTCAGTATTTCCTGATTAAAAATAAAGCATACAGCTCCAAGTCAGACTGGGCATTTGGTCAACCCCAAGTGATTTACTGTTGCTTGTTAATTTGTTGTCATTTAACCCAAATTTTGGTCATTGGCACTACCCTCATCAACTCTCTTCATTGCCTGGCACTGGCAGCGTGCAGGTCTGGACCCTGAGCAGTGCCTGTCTGCCAGGATGGAGGCTGCCAAATCTGTGACTCCACTTGCAGTCACTACTGGCACCCCGTCAGCCCTGCCATCCCGCTCAGCAGCAAGGTTGTTCCCATGCTGACGTTATCTTGTGCTGCTCCCAACCTGCTAAACGCAAATTGTGGGTGAAAGAATGCGGGCTGTGACTTTCCTTGGCTTGTTAGATTGGTCCTGGCAGCAGTTTGTACTAACAAAATAAGAGTTGTTTAAAATCCAGTGCAAGCTCTAGTTGTACATTTCAATGTATTAATTTCATGTTGTAAGCCCTTGTGTATTTTGATAACAGGAAAACTAGTATCAGGTAAGAATATTTAGCATTTCATTTGTGTTGTTTATGATTTCCGTAAATATTAAAAGATTATTAATTTACACAACTGGTAAGTAATAGTAAATGGAATTAATATTTCACAATGTATACTTTGTGATTAAAGTTTAAGATGGACAGCAAAAGCTAGAAAAGAGAGGGGAATCTTTGAAAAAAATGTAACTGCTACAGATGTTTCTATTTAAGAAATAGAAATATCCTATTCTATTCTCTCCTGCAAGGAGATGAGCCCATAGAAATTGTTGTGTTCATCCTGAATTTCAGCAGAGTTTGTAATCAATCGTGAGCAAGACAGCATGTTCTCCTTGAAATTAATAGCAACTCCCTAAATATTTCAGCGAGAGCAGCCTCATTGGGGCACTTGGAAGAAGAAGGGATCAGGGCTTTGAGAAATAAAGTGTTAAAGAGTTTCAGCTGGTGTGGTCTCTCTCTGCTCAGTTTGCCCGTCCAGTCTCTCCCGCCCCTCGAGTGGCCACTCTCCAGCCAGTCTGGCTCCTACGAGCTGCGGATCGAGGTACAGCCGAAGCCCCACCACCGGGCACACTACGAGACAGAGGGAAGCCGAGGGGCCGTCAAGGCGCCGACTGGAGGCCACCCCGTTGTCCAGGTAAGGGACTGGAAATAACTCCACAGAGGAAAAGTAGGGGGTGAGTTCATTTCTGAAAGTCTTGCTGGGGTCTGACCCTGAAAGAGGAGGACCACGTGAACCTGGGTGTGCTTGTAGATGTGCATAAGTGTTTGAACTTGAGCTGTGGTGAAGTCCTACATGTCTGGAAAGTTGGTTTGGATTAACTTGTGAAAGCTCAGAAACAAGAAAAAATATTTGCCACCTTTTCTCAGCTATATGTTAAATAAACCTCCTGTGACCCAACTCTGTCCTGAATTCCAGCTGAGCCCATTTTATCTTGACAACAGGCTCTTCTCTGTAAATTAAGGCTTTTTGTGAGGTTTAGAAAGTAAAAATATTAAACCTGGCTTTCAAACTCAGTGTAGTTCAGTGACCTTCCAAATTCATATTTAAAATAGCTAACAGATCGTGTTGGATCTACAGTACCATGACCTCCTGCTGGGAGGGAATGAGGGTTTTGAAGCCGTGCTCCCCCAGGTTCCCACAGAACAAGTCCATCGGCAGAGCTGCTACCCGTGTTTCTGGCTGTATCTAACCTCTGCTGCTCTCCGGTCCATCCAGCCAGACTGTACGAGACTCATACACATTCTCTTGAAGCTTAAAGAAAGGCAAAGCAACCATCATGAACCTTGATGGGAGGTGGATTAGGAAGGTATGGCTGTTGATCTGGAGTTTCCCCCAAGTCAACAGCTGTCCTTTGCTAGAAATGTCTTTTATGCATTTGCTTTTTCCGTAGCAATTTTACTGTTTGTTTGGGTTTGTTTTTGTTTTTGCTTTTTTTTTTTTTTTCTGTCCTTTGGTTATATGGTAGAACTTTTAATTTTAAGCCCATTTAAATTTAGCTCAGAGAATTTCACCTGTGTGTAATTCAAGCACTCAATACATCCATTTCAATCTAGTGCCTGGTTTATATGTAACTTGGTGACACCACGTGCTACCTTGCATGCAGTTCTGCTTGTCATCTGTGGTAACACTGCCTTTTGTTTGCCCTGGATATACACCACCAAGGGGAAACCTCTACTAGCTGTAGTAGCCATGTGATAAGGAGACAGAAGGCCAAGATAATTACATAGCAGTGGGGATGATTTCAGGTAAAAGTTTGGACTCTCTAAAGCTGTAAATATAGAGAGGACAGGCTTATCGGCTTTGTAATGCTGAGTTTAGGCAGGAGCTGCCTTGTGATTTGCACTGATGTTACTACATAAACAAAATTTTCTATCTCTTTTGAGGTATCATTTTACATTGCCCTAAAGAGTCCAGTTCTGGTCCTAGGTATGCTTGTGAGAAGGGAGGTCACTGTGCTGAAACCAGTGAACAAAATCCAAGCTGACAGTGATGGAGGTAACAAAATTTGGCCCTTTTCAGACCTAAGAGGTGGATGAGCTGAACCCTATTCTGTTAAGGAGGATGAAGGGCTTTTCCTTCGCCTTTGAAAGGGTAATGTAAAATAATGGCTGAGTAGCTGCACTGTAGCCATTTGGGGCCACATCAGTCTTTTCAGTCATTTCCTCCTCATCTCAGCCAGTGCCATTCAGGAAGGAAAGCCAGGCTTTTGGTCAGGGTTGCAATGTGTCAGCACGATATTGCTGGTAATGATGTATGGCAACTGTACAGATCAGCCACAGCTACAGCTTTCACTAAGCAAAGTTGGGGTGCATCCTACTGATGTTCCTGTCTCGGGATTTCCTATGGCAAACCTGAACCAGGGAAATGTTGAACTTTATGCTTAATTTTAAGCATGTGATCAATACCACTAATTTCACTGGGTTGATTTGTGCTTAACTTCAAACATATGTTAGATATTCCCCTGCAGGCTCACCCCCTTTTAAAATCAAGCATAAATTGTTAAATCAATGAATTTGTTTACTTCAGTCGAGCTGGACTTACATGTATGGACTGGATATTTGAGTAAAGGGTGCAGGGTAATAATAAATAGCAATCACATTTGACATACCTTAATATATGCAATCTTTTTAGTTTATAAATCTGACAAACTTATAGCCTGCTGCGGTATGTTTGAACCTACATGGATGTGTGGCCAATCAGCACTTGCTCTTTTCTCAGTTTGCTTACAAATACAGTATCATTTACCTTCCCAAGATATTCCTATCAACTGGATGTTTATTGCAGTGAAGGAGTTTCTCGTGACATGGGGAAATATAAGTGCTTTGTTTCCTTTCTGTAATCAATATCAATCAAAGAGGGATTTATATTTTCTGCTGGAGACAGGAACTGATATTCCTAGTTTTATCATAATTTGCCATCAAGTTTAAGGATCTTAAACTATAAATTCAAAGATCCGTGTTAGCTTCCTGAGCAGATTGGCCTCTGAACAGCTGTGGCTGCATATGGCGAAAACGTGGACAGTTTCTTTATGAAGGTTTATTATAAACCTGGAAGTATTTGTTGGATTTGTGTTCACTTTAACATAACAAGGTTCATATGAGTGCTGAGCAATGAGATAGTTGCACCTGTATGGTTTATGACATCTGAAACTCAGGAAGGCTAGTAAAATCCAAAGCTTTCATGTCATAAGTTATTTGGCTTCAAGGTTTCTTTCTGTTTTTCTTCTTTCCCCTCAGTGAATTTTGTGTTCTTGTCAGATGCAAATGGTATAGAAACACAGAAAATAAAACAGGAGAGATTTTTAAAAGGAAGGCACCATGTTGAGGAAAGATTGTATGAGTTAAAGGCAACTGGTTGCAAGGAAATTAGATTAAATTGTTTTCAACAGGTTCTCTCTGTGTTCAGCCCCGGAGCAGGAATGGCAGTGTTGACCCGGGGGTGACAGGGCTGGCGTTCTCCTGCTGGCTGCAGACCACAGCACTTCACAAATGACAGATGTGAACACACTACCCTTGGGAATTTTCTGGAGCACTAGAACTTGTCCATAGCAACTTTCTTGAATCCAGTGCTGTCTCTTAGACATTTGGACTTAAATATTGAGAAGCCAAGCTTGCCCTGGGTAGGAGAAGCCCAACAAAGTGGTGGCATTTATACTAAGGCTGAATGTCCCATTCACATGCCATACATTTTACAACCACTTTTGATATACTGCTTTTCCACTGTTTTGATTACCTTTTCTAAAATATAACTTTTTTTTTTAATTATTTAGAAAAAAAAATCCTCTTTTTTTTAATGATTTAGAAAAAAAAATCCTATTAAATTAACCTTCCATGTGGCTAATTATCTTCTGGAGGAAGAGATGTTGGCTAGTTTTTGCAGCATGGTGGAATACTTATTTTTTGAAAACGGCGTTTTGCATGCAAGTTTCTTGTTTTGGGTGCTCTGAAGCTACAGACCATCAGATCTCATATCCTCTAGGCCTTATCTTGTGGTTTATCTTTCTGATGCTGCTTCCTCTTCTTCACATGTCTAGCCCTGAGAGTTTGTGCACAAGACTGTGCACTAGCTGTGTGCTCCAAGTATGGTAGGACAGTCTGGTTAATCAAAACCTCTGGCTAGATGGGCCACATGGAAGAGGGCATGTGCTTCATTTGTCTAGGGGAGGAAGAGAGAAGCCCTGCATGCCACATAGTGTTCACACCATCTAACTTCAGAGACCATCTGGAGTCACATGGAGAAGGGTAGGCTCCCAGTTTAGGTGTTCTGAGTCACTTTTGGGAGGAAACTACAGCTTGCTGTTAGCTGCAGAGAAACTGGGGCTTCTATTTTAGGGATGTTAAGTTGAATGCCATTGTGAGTGTCCTCTAGATGTTAAGTCACTGAGAAAAGCAAGGAAATCCTGCGTAGCAAGGTCAAAGGTGAAGTTTGCGTGCACCTACCATCTTGCAGGCGCACCTGGTCACTGAGACTGCAGAGGAGGGGTAGGCATGATTGGTTTCCAACCCTTTTGCACCAAAGTTGGGGGACAGCTGCTTATTTGTGTCCAGCTGCTTCAGTTAAGGCTCTGGAAGACACTGTCCATTAGGAAGGGCAGTGACTGCTCCTATGTAAAGAGCTTATGGATGTGACTAGGATAGAGGTGGACAACCCAAACACAGCTCTGTCCAAGTTCACCCTGCGGCAGCACACCCTGCCCAGAGGGGTAAAATGCCCATATTTGCATGCTTTTAGAGAAATATCTGCTAGCGAGGACATGGATCTATTTGAATTCTGCTTGAGACAGGAGAGATGAACTAGATGTTTCCTTGAGATCTCTCCCAGCATTGTTTTCAATAATCCTTCTAGGAGCTCCAACCTATTAAAGAAAGTAAAATTTTTAGGTTGTTGGCACTGCTCACTATCCTGTTGTCCAGGGGAAACAGGGCATGTGGTAGCAGTTGAGTAGCACTGGATGCTGGCATACAGGAAAATGTGGTGATAAGAACCCCTCTGTTTCAGGGAGAATCAGATTTTCAGTTCTTCAGCAAAGGCTCTCCTGGTTGTGAACTGTTTAAGACAGTGATAAGAAGGAAAGAACTTTTCAGTAGCAAAGTTTGGGTCTGGATTAGCTTCACCCCATGGTCAAGCAGAGTCTATAGTCCCTTAAAACTATTATTTTGAAGATATTCATTAAACTTAGTGGTTCTGGTTTTGTCCTACTGCTTTGCATGAAGACAGATTTTTTTTCAAGAAGGAAACGATAATTCACACAATTGTGTGATATTTCAGGGAGTTCTAAGCACAATTGTCCTTCCCTCAAAGGAACTAGAAGGGAAAGAAGATGCTTTTAGGGAAGATGAGCAGTGGATTTATGCAAATGATTGACCAACTGTATGGATAGCTGATCTCTACTTGTTTCTTTTAGAAGTGGTTGCCTTTACATGTGTTGCAGCCATGGGGTATAAATGAGACCAATCCATTTCACATCATAATCTTCCCACATTCTGAAGTCCTCTGGGGTCCTTGGAGATGATCACTGTGAGATAAATGTGTGATTTACTGCTGCAGTCACCTCACATAATTGAGAGTGGTGACCCAGGGCACCGATTTCAGATGTGCATCTGCCATGGAATGTAGAGAAGCTGAGGTATATT